CTGGAAAAACACTGTGGTGATGGTGGCACAACATGATGGGTATAATCAATCTCACGGAATTGTACGTGTAAAAATTGTTGAGTTGGAAAAAACTTAATATATATATTTGCCACAATAAAAAAGAGGGAATTCATTAAATTTAAGCAAGTCACTTACCTCTTTGGGTTTCAGTTTCCTTGTGTATAAGAGGAATGAGTTGTGCTAGATGGGCCCTATGATATTATATATAATTCCTTCTACTTAGATCCAGTTTGATTTTGAGAAAATCTCTCTTTTTTGGTCATTTGAGTCTGTTTGGACACTTTGAGTCATTAAGGAACCTTAGGAAGGATTTCAGGATTATTTCCAAAGTTACAATTTTGAGAGCACATTCTGTTGTTATCAGTAATGTGGGTGTATCATAAGTGCATAAGATATGCATTTACCAGAGCAATGAGGATGGTGTTATTTGAAGAACATTCATTAGAAACCAGGAGTTCAAGGTTCGAATCCTCAATTGGCCATTGTTAGCTAAGTGACCCTCTATAAGTTATTTTCCTTAATTGTAAAAAGATAATGGCCACCATAAGTGGCCTCACCTCTTTTTGTTACCTGATAAAGTTCAGAGGAGATAAACCCATTTCCACACACTTCTTGCAATATAAGGATAACCAGGATTGGCTTTGTCAGTAATCTGTAGATAAGAATTGTATGACAAATTTTATGGAAAATTAGACCACAGTTTCCAAACCAGTGGGCCATAGCACTCTGGGTTGCTTTGTGGAGGTTACAGATATACAGACACATTGCTCTCCTTTCTCCTCAGCCCTAAAAAGTCTGGAGAGGACTGAAGCAGCCAATGCCCTCAGAGCAGGCCATTCCCTCACCTCAATGCGCCATATTATCATTTCTAAGTGTGCTATAATATGACAATATTTGGGAAAGTTTGCTGTCAACTGTTATGTACCGTGCAAATATTAACTGATCCTATTTCGACGTGAAATTTTTCTTTGCAAAGATGCTCATGTCTATCAATGGCTAACAACACACCTGTATCTGCTGCCCCATACTTGATACAAAGATGATGTTGATTAAAAGTAGGACCTGTTCTTTAGATGTTTAATTTTATGTAACTCCTTCCTAGAGTATTGAGAATAAGCTGTTTATATATGTATCTCCTTCCAAGAGAAGAAGGAAATGTATTTATTTTGGTCATGTCACTATCCCTACTTCCTAGCATGGTGCCTACCACATGGTAGGCACCTGATACATATATATATGTTTAATAAATGAAAAGTTATACAAATGAATGAATGAATTTGCATGGAACCAACCATCAAGCTCTGACCCATCTCATGTATAACACAAAGTGGACAACGGAAATTGAGATAGTTGCAGAAATAAAAAGAGAAGTCAAACTTGGCCTCATTAACACTTGCCTTTCTACCAACTGAGGTAACAAATCACATCAATTAATTAGCGTTTTACTGTAAAATACATATTTGTGTTTTCTTTGCTGATGTCCTATTGCAGTTAGGCTTAGAAGTGGAGTAAAAGGACTCAACTCTTATGACAATAATGTGCTCAGTGAACAATGAAGATATTCTAGTGTTTTTCTTCGACAAAGAAAATAATCTTTATCTCTCATTTCTAAAATGTTTCTAAAAACATCATCATAATTGAATCTTGTGTTGTAATATCTCACCCTCCCTTTCACGTAGTGTCAGGAGGAACTATTAACAGCATAACTTCTCTCCTCATCTTGTTTGGGTAACTGATAGTGTTGAGATAAAGGAGGTACAGCCCCCTTCCTCATATCCCTTGAATTCCAAGAACCATGAGAATGGACTTACTCAGCCATCTTTATAAACATGCCCCAGTGCCACCTGATATAGCTGCACCTTCATTTCCAGCAGTGACTATATACAAGCATGGAATGATAGTGATCGGAGGCCTACCATAATATATCTCAGACAGGCTGTAAAACCCAGAACAGGTTGTTGTTGTTGTTGTTGTTATGTGCCGTCGAGTCGGCCCCAACTCATAGCGACCCCTCCTTGGGTTTCCGAGGCAGTATCGCTACGGAAGTAGGATTGCCCAACCTTCCTTCCGAGGAGTGGCTGGTGGGTTTGAACCGTCAGCCTTCTGGTTAGCAGGCAAGTGACTTAGCCACTATGCTACCAGAGCTCCCAACAGGTTAGAACCAGAACAGGTTAGAGGGGTACAAAATGATTAAAGAGCAAGTAGAAGACAGAGATGGATGGAAAAGTAACCATTTAAAGATTACACATATTTGAAAAGATGACTAGAAAAAGCATCAAGTAATAAAAATACTTTTCGCTGCTAAAACACTAGAGATAAGACATTGTACATTTCTACCTTTCCATGTGCACTCTGGACAAGTTGTGCTCCTTTTTGCATTGCTGAAACCATAGCCAAATCACTGGTAGAGAAGGCAGAGACTGCACAGTGGTCAGGGCAGGTTATCCACTACTGACTAGAAAATATTTTTCTAATACAACAATACATTTTTTTCCCCAGGGGTTTATTTCAAACTTTGTGAGCTTCAGGAGTTCTTTACTTCTTGGTTCTGGCTTATTATCAAGATCCATTAGTATGAAGTAGTGGCTAAGAGTGTGGGCCCGGTAGCCATGTTGATGTTTGAATCACTGTCTAAATGTGTAACTTTTACTCAGTTGCTTAACTTCTCTGAATCTCATCACTTCAATAAAAGGGAGATAATACTACTACTCATCTCATATGGTAGTTTTAATGATTGATTTAACTACCCAAGCACTTCATACAGAGATTGATATATAGTAGGTATCCAATAAATGTTATTACTCTAATTACAATTATCAGTTGTAGAAAGTTTTAGAATTATTAAATATTATTATCCAGGCAGAGTTGGAAAAGTCTTTTCATTCACCATTGTTGATCCATTTCAAGAAAGAGTGAGGATTAGTATTTCCCATGGAGTAAATTAATATATAACGATGATAGTAATGTCCAGAGATGTCAGGAGAGAAGAAAAAATTTCATCAGTAAGTCAACCTCCCCTCTCCGATCCTTAGTCTTCTCAACTATAAATTGAAATAAAGCCTTCCTACTCTATTTTTTGCATGGCTCCTCTGCTTTAGCACTGCATCTTAAAGAAATGCCTAGGATCATGGCTGAGTTTAGCACATTGTAGCAGAGGATAGTGATTAAGAAATGGACTTTGTAAATTTGCACCTACAGCACAAGAAAAATGAAGAAGGAAGGGAGGGAGGGCAGGAGAAAGGATGGAAGAAAGGAAGGAGAGACAGAGACAGAGAGAGAGATAAAAAGAAAGAAAGAAAGAAAATGAACTCTAGAATCAGACTACCTTGAATTAAAAACCTAGTTTTGTTAGCTGTGTGACTTCAGGCAATTTTCTAAATTTCTCTAAGCCTCAGTTGTTTCACTACCCAAAAGGGTAATAGTGCCCATCTCTCAGCGTTACATTGAGACATAAATGAGATAAGGTACAGAACAAACTTAGTACAGTGAATGGCACATAGTAAACTCCTACATAAATAGGTTGATGACAGCATGAAGGATCCCAGTAAATTATGCATATCTTATGTTTGTGCATTATGTACATTATGCTCCTTTTTTGGGGGATAACATTGTCTTCATTAAGGAAAGAAAAATGGGAGGAGAATTTACCTGGAGATTTGGATGTTGTCCTATTTCAGAACATGCCTTTGGTGGCTATTGGTGGATTTCCCCAAGTGTGAAGATGGAGAGGCTTCCAAATTGAAAAAAGCACATGACAGTTGTGGGAGTTACAGTTTAGACTTCCCTGGGAACTGAGGGTCGGTCAGATCATATACATACAACCTGCTCCACCTTTTATAACAGGTGTTTGGTCCCAACAATGCACATAGCAACTGTGCAGAAAGCTTCCTTGGTCACCTCTAGGCATCACATATGCAACTGTACAGCTATGACTCGGAGCTTCCAGGGGGTGCTCAGTGCTGCTATAGGACTATGGGGCTCCAAGGTAGCAGACAGAATATGGCAGAAGGAAGGTTTTGTTTTTAATCTTTATTTCCTCACCTAGATCCATTCTCCACCCTTTTTTGCCCTTCTCTATCCCAGGGAAGCTGAACATTATTGATTCTATCATCTGGTCTCTTTAGTCTCTGGCTTTCACTTGGATTCAAAAAAGGGGTAGAGGGAGACACTAGCAGGAGTTTGGAATGCAGGAGTTAAGAGGGGTTAGGGTATTTATCTCACGCACTCCCTCTGTATCTGAGTCGAACAGTGGTTTTGTTCCTCTAAGGCCGTAGATTCTGCCAGAACCCTGCTCCTGACAGTCAGCCTTCACTCTTGCCAGGTTCCAGGCACAGTGTTCCTTCCCTTATCACTGCAGGCCTAGGGCTGCTGATGAACATCTCCTTTGTTGATTCCTTTAACTCTACTCATATCTCTGTAAACAGTCCCTTAATTTCTGTTTAAACTTTGACTTCAGCTTATTTCCAGCTAAACTGAATCTTAGTGGTGTTCACACATCTGTTCTGGGCCCATTTCTCTCCCTACATTTACTGCAATGGTTCTCACAATGCAGACTGTGATAATGGTTGTCATTCTTTGCAAGTACTACTCCTTGTAATGATGTCTTTGTTCCCAACAATAAATATTTTTATGTCCCAAAATTATTTCTTTCATGTCTTATTTAAATCTTCACCGTGCTTCTGTTTTGTTCTCATGAGTTACGGAGGAGGGAGATTTTATTTCTTTTTAGCAGCTGGATTGGAAGGGTCAGATTGCTTCTGACAGCTGCTGATGGAAATGTATGAAAATAAGTGTCAAAGAGCAGTCAAAGCCCTGAGTTATTTAGGTGTGGATTTGTTGATTCTTCTGAATGAAATAGCGAATACAAAAAAAAAAAAAAAAAACCTAGAAATAAGACCTCTCTTTTTCCCTACCCCCAAACCAGCTATTGATTGAGGGGGAAAAAAAAAGAACCCTCATTTGACAGCATGCTGAGTTACCTTGTACCACACAACATCAGGCTCCTGATCGGACTTTTTAAAGTCATCCATGTCTGGGCAGGAGATCTCCTTTCTTTTAGTGACTTCAGATTTTTCTAAATAGCGGATCCTGCTATTGTAGCACAGGCCTGATTCATTCTCTGCCACAGTCAAGGACATTGACACCTTCATGCAATATGTTGAGTTTCTGTAGGAACAGAGAAATAGCAAAACGGCTTTATTGTGTGTTTACAACTTTGTTTGTACTCTATATATTTCAAGAGTATTGACTTTTCCATTTAGGACCTTGCCTAGAAATCAGAAACATCAGAAGAACACACAGCTGTTTTCTACTTCAACTTACAGGAAGATAGGAAACAAAATGCATGAGACAGCCACACAGAGCAGCTGTACCCATCTCTGGACTGTAAGATGGTCAGACTTCTTTCCCTATCATAAATATTGCTACATTGATAATCTGATAGTGAAAACCAATGAGAATGTCTCTATAACCAGGGCTATATTCATTTCTGTTCTGTCGTTGTGACCAGTCCTGTAACAGGTATTCCACGGGTTGTTTCGTTTTACCATTGGTTCCTAAACCACGATTTCCTTTTATGGGCTGTATCATTTAAAACTAAATAAACATGCAGATGATACCTATTAATTAACAAAACTTTTTTAGGTGCTTACTGAGATTTCCCAGAAGTCAAATCTAGGCTCCCATAAAGAACAAATTGTAGTAGAGTGTGGTCAGTCTAGATTAATTTTATCTACCAACACTAGCATTATAAAAGAATTTCAGCATTGAGTTTTACCATAAGGCCACTTCAGAAGTTGAATATTAATTAGCTAACTCATTACCTAATGGTATTTATGAAATGAAATTCTACCATCATGTTCCTATGTACTTCATGATTTTTTTCCTTTTCTACCCTGTCCTTCCTTGCCCTACTCTGTCCTCACCTGCTCTACCCTCTATGGACTCCAAAAGATACCACCCAGTCAAAATAAATAAATAAATAAATAAAGCAAAGTGTGAGGAAGAGTTCAGAAGTAGCCTGGTAAGATTAAGAAGAAACTCAACTGTAAAGCTTGGTGGGAGTATTTAATCTTACTTTATGGAGGACATTTCAGGACCACATCTACCCTAAACTTTAAGAGATACCTGCTGTCAAAAATATTGTTCAAAACCAAGTATTTTAACAACCACAGTGATGACAGCCCTGACAAATGGGATTAGTATACCAACCAGAAGTTTCAAGATGGCTCCAAATGAAGGTTACTATTTATATTATTTAATACTCATTCACTGAAATTGCCCAACATACCAGACATGAGAAACATGAGTCTAGCTGGCTGCTGTCCATTGGGTTTACAAACTAAGTTAATAAGAATGACTTTTACTTAGATTTCTAGTGAAGTTAATTACTGGCAAGCACTCCTGATGAAGCCCACGCCTGTGTCATCTGAGAAGGACACTACCAAAGTGCTCCTATTTTAACGATCAGATGCAACTTTGTTACACAACGAAGCTTATGAGCGCTCACTTTTCTATCTTCCTCAATATGGACTCTCAGAGTCCAAAAGGCATACAATATGCCCACTGGTGGTCAAATGATAGAGAGAAACTTTCATGATTTTGTCAGATATTTGGCAGCCTCCTTAAAAACCATGAAGCTAAAGCTACTAGAATTAAAAAAATAAATAAAAGTCATAAACAAGGAGGGTAAAGTGTGGCTCAATCATTTCAGGCTCCTTGACTTCAATTCTTCAGTCTCCTTGCATCCTTCAAGGCCCTGTGTAATCTGGCCCTTCATAACACTCTCCCCTTCACTCATTATGGTGAAGCCACACTGGCATTTTCCAAGATCTTCTAAACGTTCTTTTATTAATCAAATATAAGCTCAAAAGTTATATCCTGAAATGCCTTCTCTGATCACCCAATCTAAAGCTGTTCAACTCCCCATCTCTCTTCTGCCCTATTGCCCTTTTTTTTAATTTTCTTATTAACAGTTATTACTTTTAACTTCTTTTAACAAATTATTTCCATCATTTGTTTATTTGGTAAATATAAGCTCATGAGGGCAAACACTTTATTGCTCTTGTTCACTACTTTATTCCAAGGGTCTAAATGAATAGATAATAGATGCTCAATAAATGTTGGTTGATTTAAATGAATGGGCATCAAAAGATATGTATTCAATAACTTCACATCAGCAGACATGTCTGATCTGCTTTGGCATCAATCCCATATGGTACTGACCCCAGCATTCTACAGATTCAGGTATATGGCTCGTCAAAATTCATATTCCCTGTAGAAATACAAGGAGCTCTGATGGAGTAATGCCTAAGACATTTGACTGCTAACCAAAAGGTTTGTGGTTCAAGCCCACCAGCCACTCTGTGCAAGGAAGACTGGGCAATCTACTTCTGTAAAGATTTACTGCCTCAAAAAACCAAAGGGGGTTGCTGTGAGTTGGAATCAACTCGATGGCAGTGAGTTTGGTTTTGGTTTTGCATAAATATGACTCAGTATAATTTACAGGTTTCCCTGGACTACCATTAGGGGAAGAATTGTCCAAGTTTTGTGTATCAGCTTATTGGCAAAGAATGGACTATACTGGTTACATCTGGGAGACAAGGATGACTGGGGCAGTTCAGGATAGAAAAAAAAATGGTCATAGCTTTTAAAGGAGAAACACAGAAGAAACAATCACATCTGCTGGATATCCAAAGTGTTATGAACAATGCATAATGTTACAGCTATCATATCTCCTCCACAGTTCACACACACAAGTTAAAGAGACTTACTTGTTAAATATTCTCCCTTATTATGTTATAGCTCCAGGGAAAGAGACTTTTGAACAGAGGTCTAAGCAAAGAAAGGAGTAGGTAGAATGTTTAATACCCTGAAAGATGCTCACTATTTCAAATGTGTTTAACCCTGGGCAGAAAACAGGGCACACAAAATAAGAGGTCAGTATAATATAGTGGTTTCTTAACAAAGCATCACCTTTGTTTCTGAACAAAGACCCACTGGGTTCAACTAGCTCTGAGACCTTTGGCAAGTTATCTGACCTCTCTGAATCTGTTTCCTCATCTGAAAAATAAGGATAAGAAGTTCTTCATGGTGATTCATTGGGGGTGGGAGGTAGGAATTCACTTCATTATACAACCAAATACAAAAATTATTTTTTAATCATTTTTTAGTTGGGATGATTATAATATCTGACATCTCCAGACTGTGGTGAAGATTAAATAGTATATGCAAAATGCCTAATACAGTACCTAGTATATAGTAAGTATTCAATAAATCTAGCTATACTTAGAACTGTTTGTATTTCTGACATTAATTGTTATGTATATTGTTAGGCAGTTAAGGCATTCAG